GTGTGTGTGTGTGTGTGTACACGCGCGTTCAGATCCTGTGGAGCCAGATTTACAGACAATTGTAAGCAACCAAAAGTGAGTGCTGGACTCAGGAAGCAGAGGCAAGTAAATCTCTTGTGAGTTCCAAGCCAGCCTGTCTACAGGTCAACTTCTAGGATAGACAGGACTACACAGAGAAACCCTGTCTTCAAAAACCAAAAAAGAAAAAAACAAAACAAAGTGAGTGCTGGAAACTAATCTTACTTAGACCCTAAGAAAATACTGGAAGCATTCTTAACCACTGAGCCATCTCTCTAGCCCACTCTTTAAAAAAAAAAAAAAACAAGTTAATCTATGTTTAACTCCAATGTCAAATTATAATCTATGTTTAACTCATGTCCTTGTCAATTTAGAATATTAAAATGTACAATAATAAACTACATATTTAACTTTAAAACACAGAATTCTGGTTGAACATGTGGCACATGCCTGTAACCTCCCAGCCCTCAAGTGGTGAAAATAAGAAGTTTAAGGTTGGGTCTCTGGTCAGTCTGGGCTATATGAGACCCTATGTCAAAAAAATTTAACTTTTTTTTACTCTGTGTGTGTGTGTGTGTGTGCGCGCGCGCACGCGCGCGCACATGGGTGCCTCCGTGCTTATGTGGAGGTCACCTACAGGAATTGGTTCTCCACCATGTAGTTTCTGGAGTTCAAACTCAGGTCACAGACCTGGTGTTAAGTGCTTCTTACCCACTGACCCATCCCCTCCCCAAAAAGAAATGTTTCTTTGTTTAAGACATGGTCACACAATGTTGTCCTGGCTGGCTATGAACTCATATATCCATCTGCCTCTGCTCTGGAGTGTTGGGATTAAAAGCATGCACCACTAAACTCCGCTCAAAAAACTTTTGAAGCATTCTAATCTCTCTCTTTGGGTACAGCTAGGTATTTCCCAAATAGGTAAAATCCAGAAAATGATAGACTTTGGCTAGTGGCAACAATAGGTCTCTTTTCAGCACAAAGTGGTTAAAAACAAACAAACAAAAAAACAAACAAACAAAAAAAAACACTACCATTCCTGTTTTTCTGTGTGGGGGAAAAAAAGATATCCAAAAAAATCCCAACCAAAATCTTTCCAACTTTTTGCATGAGATAGTCACAGTTTGCAAGTAAGTAATAAGACTAATCTAACACCTCTCATTTCTTTTTCTTTACAAAACAGAATCTAGCTAGCTAGCTATACAGCCTAAAATTGACAATCCTCCTGCCTCTGCCTCCCAAGTCTCCCAAGTACTGAGATTACAGACAGGTATGTGGCACCACAACCGCACACTGAGCTCTTGCCTAACCATTCTGAAATGTTGAGACTACAATGAATTTTAAAAAGAGAAAAAACAAACAAACAAAAAAAAAAACTACAGCCAGGCAGTGGTGGAGAGTGCCCTTAATCCCAGCACTCAGGAGGCAGAGGCAAGCAGATCTCTGAGTTCAAAGTCAGCCTGGTCTACAGAGCAACTTCCAGGACAGACAAAACTACACAGAGAAACTCTGTTTGGAGTAGGGTTTGTGGGGACCATGGAAGGACTACAAGGCCAGTGCTCTATAAACACTTAACTCTTAAAAGTTATTTCTAGTGGTCTTGGTAAATTTGCTTTATTCCCTTACCAAAATAGCCTATTATTCAGCCACCAGAGACACTTCCTGTGGATATGTGTGAGGGATTCCTTTTACTATGACTGAAAGGACAAACTGGCAAACAAATACTAAAAGAAGCTGACAAGAATTACACTTTTTCTGTTGTTTTGAGGCAGGGTATATGTAGCTCAGACTGGCCTGGAACTCACTATGTAGCAGAAGATGACCTTGAATTTCTGATCTTTCTAACTCCACATCACTGAGGAATTATTGGTATGTGCTACCACACCCTGGTTATGCAGCTGGGGATCAAACTCAGGGCTGCTTCTCGAATTCCCAACCCAAGAATTGCTTTCTCAACTGCCTGAATCCTCCTCACCTGCCCTCCTGAAAAATCAGAGAAAAAAAAAAAGGTAGAGAAAAGGCAAATAATTGCTTTTAATAAAAATTATTTGCATGAAAATAGGCCTGATGAGAACATATTTATAATGCCAGCACCTAGGAAGTGGAAACAGGATCAGGAGCTCAAGGACATCCTCAGCTACAGAAAACCTTTGGGGGCGGTGGTGGGGCAGAGGGCCTGAAGAGAGAACTTTCAGCAACTATGGGCATTTGCTGATCTTGCAGAGCACCAGAGTTTGGTTCCCAGCACCCACATAATGACTCATAATTGCCTGTAACTTCAGTCCAAAGTGTCTAACTCCCTCAATCTGACTTTTCCTGGCTCTCCTGGTGCACATACATATACTACAGGCACATATATACACATAAAATAAGTAAATTTTTTTAAGATTCAAGGGCCAGCAAGATGGCTTCCCAAGTAAAGAAAGGCACTTGCTGCCAACCCTGATGACCATGAGAGACTCCACATGGTAGAAAAAAAGAACAGACTCCTGATATCCACTCACTGATCCACACATTGCTCACTGTGGCAGAGAAATGCTCACACAAATAAATTTAAAAACTAACAAAATGCCGGGCAGTGGTGTCGCATGCCTTTAATCCCAGCACTCGGGAGGCAGAGGCAAGCGGATCTCTGTGAGTTCGAGGCCAGCCTGGTCTACAGAGCGAGATCCAGGAAAGGCACAACGCTACACAGAGAAACCCTGTCTCGAAAAACCAAAAAAAAAAAACTAACAAAAAAAGATTTGAATAAACTATACAGTCTTTCTGCACTTGAAATACATGAGAAGATAACCTCCACTGTGTCACTAGCATCATCTTTCCAAGGAAAGGAAAGAAGATGACCTCTAATTTTACTATGAATTAAACCATTTTTTCACTGGCTATTTAGCAAATCAATTCTTGCCACCTTACTAATAAATCAAGCTATGTTATGGAGTATGTCTATATTCCTGTTTCCTCTATAACAAAAGAAAAGCATCAGGGGATGGTGACGCACACCTTCAATCCCAGCACTCAAGAGGCAGAGGCAAGCGGACCTCTGTAACTTCAAGGCCAGCCTGGTCTACAGAGAAAGTTCCAGGACAGCCAGGGCTACACAGAGAAACCCTGTCTTGAAAAATCGGGGGTGGGGGGGTGGAAGGCAAGTATTTCCAGCCTTGTAATTGCTACTTCATAGAGCCAAGTGTGCATCTCATAGTACCCCCTACCCAATCAGAGCTCATAGGAAGTTTTCATCCTTTCCCCATACACTCTCACTTAGTCAAAAAATAAAAGCACCTGAAACACTGGCAACATTTACTAACAACCTATGTATATATTCCTTAACTGTATAAACCATTCTGCTTTGTATCTGTCAAGCTAGGAAGTCAGGCGAACCCAGCATGTGCTGGAATTTTGGGATTTATTTCTTTAGAACTATAAGCTATTATTTTCCAAAAGCTGTATTTGACAAGAGCATTTTAGTCTTTTAAAGAATTATTAAGTTCTCTTAAATATACAGGTCATGATGCAGAAAAGTAGAATCCATTTTTTGTTTGTGTTTTCTAGACAGGGTTTCTCTGTGAAACAGCCTTGGCCTGGAACTCTTGTAGACCAGGCTGGCCTCAAAACTGGAGATCCTCCTGCCTCTGCCTCCCAGTTGCAGGGATTAAAAGTAAGCACTATCACGCCTGGCTGTAGAATCCATTTTTAAATGAGAGCTCTATCAAAAGCCAAATTAAAGTTTATTTATCATCTAATATGTTAGCTGCTTAAAATTAAATTTCAAACATTTCAATAAAAGTAGAAATAACAAAGCAAGTCAATGTAAATAATTAGCTTGTTTTAACACACTGCACAAACCCTCATACAGGGAAAGTCAAAGCTACGACTTCACAAACACTTTTAACTGCTTCATATCTTGATTCTAGACTCAGGCATTCATTTTTAAAATTATTTAGTCACAAATATCAGTTCTCAATAGACACAATATTTAGGAATGCACATTAGACAAAACTAAGTGTACCCCTATTAACCAAAGATCATTTTAATTTCTCTACCAACCCTTAAAATGTTACATCCTAACCTCTCATAAAATCCTTCATGTCCAAACCGTTCTAGAAAGCAAGACCAACCCCCAAAACGTGTGTGCTTTCCACTCACGTAGCCAATTTCTGAACAATTACACTGGAGTGTACTCCAAAGAATGCATCAACTACCACAGAAATACAGGATTATGCATTTAGGAAATTCTAGGCACTGTGTAGTCACTGAATAGTTGAAGCATTTACTCAGAAAAGAACAGAACCTAAGTTGAGTACAACCGATCCATAATCAGAAAGACCTGACTGGAAATAACTTTACTTTCGAGTTAATGCTCCCAATATTTTCAAATTAAACCAAATCCCAACTCCTCCATGCAACAAAAATTTTCTCTACTCCTGCGTGCCCAAAATTCACTCCCAGGTGTCTAGGTAAATTGATGTTCATCAGAGTAACTGTTCCTGCAGTTGGGGAAAACTTAAAATTCCCCAGTGCCAGATTGTGGGACTCATAGTCCCACAATCTCATCTTTTGGCTGACTAATGTCCTGCCTAAGTCAGAGGAAGGCCTCGGTTGGAGTTCGGGGCTTTTAAAATACATCAATTAACACGTGGGAGTGCAGAAGGGAGCAGAGTTAAGGTGGTCTTTTCGCATGGGGACTGGATCAGAAGCAGCCGAGGAAGTTAATGGGTAACAGGGAGAGTTCCTGGACCTCAAATCTCAAAGCGGAGCGAGATGGCAGCGGAACGTCCTCCTCCACCGTCCTCGATCCACTCCTCGGGCTGAGGCAGGCAGCCGGGCACAGAGGCCTGGGCTGGCCGCGGCCTTCCTGCCCGGGGCCGGGAGGACACCCAGGAAGCCGCGCCCGGCTCCAGGAGCGGCGGGCCTAGGCCGCGCCTCCCAGTCCCACGGGCCTAGGCCTCGGCCAGCTCCAGGCGAGGCTCGACGCGGTCACCTACCTGGGTTGCCAGTCATTCCAGCTCCGCGGGTACTTGGTGCCGCCGCCGCCGCTGCTCAGCCGAGACCCCGGGGCTCTGCGGCTCATTACCTTCCCCGACACGACATGGCCAAGCGCCGCCGCCCAAAGAAGCGCGAGTCGCCGCCTGAACCGGCCGCAGCCGACACTGCGCTCTGGCCCCGGGCTGAGGAGGAAGCCGCGGAGGGGGCGGCCGAGGGCGGGGGAGGCGGACGGCCGTTCCGGGTTCCGCTGGAGCCCGCAACGCAGGAGCAGGAGGCGGGAGCGGCGCGGCGAGAGGGAGGCGGAGGCAGGCTAGGCTACGTCTCTTCCAGGGCAGCGCGCGGCCCGCGACGCTGGGGCCCAGGAGGACGAGGACAGCGAGGAGGCGGTGGCGGCGGCTCCTCACGCTCACACGGCCACGGCTTCCCCGCCTCCCGGCTCCGCCCGCCGCGCCGCCGCTGCCGCACGGCATGCTGGGAGCGAGGGGCGGTGCCGGCGCCCTTGGAGCCTGGAAAGAAGGGCGGGGCACGGGGCGAGGGGCGTGGCCATTGCTTGCAAACTATGGTGGGGGCGGGGCTTATGACAGGGCGTAGGGTCACCTACAAGGGGCGGTGCCGGCGCGCTTCTAGCTTAGGGGAGAAGGGCGGGACCTCTGGGGGGCGGGGTCTGTGCCAAACCTGGAGAGGGGAGGGGCGAAAGCCAGAAGGCGGGGCTTGGTAGAGAGGTGCGGGAGTCATGGGAGCCTCGGCGTCAGGGCGAGGTTTCGCTCGCGTAGCCGAAAGGGGTGTGGCTTTGGGGACAGGGCGAGAACTACGTGAGGCGCGGGGACGAAAGAGACCTCCCTGAGCTTCTTGGGCTGCGGCTAGGACTGCGGCTAGTGGAGAGCGCGGTGGCTCCGCCGCGGGGCATCATGGGAGAGGGGAATCTCCGTCCTCGGTCCACACTCGCTCTCCCATACACTCGGGGGACCGGCAGTCAGGTGTGAAAAGACGTCCAATGGAGGACGGGAGGTGGGGCGTGCCCTTGCGCGCCCACATAGACTTGCCCTTGGCGCTCGCATGCGCCCACCTGCCTGCCACCCTCCTAGAGAGGGAAATGAGACTAATAAAATAGAGGAAGAGGAAGCCAAATCGACACCTTTTCGGCCCTCACCTGAAATGTCATGCAGTCCTAATACCTTCTTCCTTTTTCCAAATGTGAAAACCAAGACCACCAACCCCTGCTTCCTGCCACATGAACTGTACTTGGTAATCCTCTGGTTCCTTCTGGCAGAAAGAGGCTAGTTACCCACACACTCCAGAAAGAATCGCTGAAGTATCGGGCACATTGTGTGAACGCAATATACTTCTTTGTGTGAGTGAGTGTCCACACACGCGGAGTCCAGAGGACAACCTCGGGTGTTGCTCCTAAGCCTCCAGCTACCGTGTATTTTGAGACAGGGTCTCTCATTGGAACCCTCATTGGCTGGCTAGAGAGCCCCAGGGATCTGCCTGTCGGCTTCCTCAACGCTGGTATTACAAGCAGTGGCACCATATCTGGCTTTTTTCTGGTGAGTTCTGTTGGCAAGGCAAGCACTTTAACAACGGAGCTATCTCCCCAGCTGCAAGCCTGTCTTAAAAAGTGATCAAGATGCTCCTCAAGCAAGTATTTAAACCTTTCCCTGCATCAAGTTTTAGGCCATCATTTTTTATTACAAGAAGTATACATTACTTACGTAATTAAAATGTGTTAGCAATGGCACAGTAGGTAGAATGCATGAAGTAACATGCACGAAGCACTGAGTTCCTTCCCCAGCACCCCATCAACGCAGCATGATGACCTGTCTGTAACCCCAGCACTAAGGAAACAAAAATTGGAAGTTGTTCAGGATCACCTTCGGCTACATAACAAGTTCCAGGCCAACCTGAGCTACGTGAGACTCTAAGCACACCCACGCCCCGAAAAAGAAAAGTATTACTAAAAGTACTTAATTATGAGGAGATATCTCCCTATGAGTATGTCCCTCATCCTCCCACCTTCTGATCCTCAAGCACGCCCACAAAGCCCTCACCAAAGGAGGATCTTTCCAGAAGACAATCAAATGAATCTTCCTCTCCCTGCCAGTCAGTGGCTTATCATTGCAGAGGAGGCAGGGAGGAGGAGGGAGACTTCTGAAAAGATGATCTTTGACCCAACAGGATGAATTGGCCAGCCCCAAAGCCTGGTCACCAACCTACCATAAAAAAAAAATAATAATAATAATTTAGTAGAACTGAGAAAGTAATTCAGTGTTAGAGTATTTTACTCAATTACCATGTTTGGGGCCCCGGGTTCAATTCCCCAGCACTGAAAAATAATAATGATGATTACTTCAATAAAATTGCTTCATCAGAACAGATATAGCCCATGTGCACACATATCATACTGAAATTGCTCTGGGAGCCCTCACAAATGCCCATTTCCTCCTCATTGAAGAGGGTTCTGCCAGGTGCTTAAATTAAAAGGCACAGCTAGACTCCAACTCACACCGCTCCAGCATCAGCCTCTGGGGAGCTGGGATTACAGGCATGTGCCACCATGCCTGGCTACAAAAAAGTTATTCTTGTTTTGTTATTTGTAATGTATGTTTAATTACAAAAGCAGTGATAAATACATAGCCTGGTTTTTCTAATTGCTTATTTTATTTTTAATTATGGGGATGGTGTCCAAAAGGAGACATCAGATCTCCGGGAGATGGAGTTAACAGGTAGTTTGGAGCCACCTGGTGTGGATGCTGGGAACCAAACTCAGGTCCTCTGCAAGAGCTCTACACCTTCTTGAGCACTGTATGGTGAAGCACACCTTTAAGCCCAGCACTCGGAGGCAGAGACAGGGAGATCTCTGTGAGTTCAAAACCAACCTAGTCTATACAGAGAGTTCCAGGCCAGCCAGGACTACATAATGAGACCCTATATACACAAAAAATATAAAAATAGAGCAGTACATATTCTTAACTGCTAAGCCATCTCTCAAATCCCAGTGCACTCTCATATATCATCTATTCATGATTTGTTCTTTTACTCAACATTGAGCAAAATTGGTGGAGCACCTGCTAACATAGAATTTGACAACAGGACAGCCATCAACACCCAGCCCTGGAGAAGTTTAGGGAGAACGCACAAAGGGGCTGGACCTTTCCAAGAGCAGGCTGGAATACCAACATTTGGTCATGTCCCCTGTCCCACCCTCGACCCCGGCTCTCAGTCTGGCTGCTGATGTCTTTTACCTGATGCCATTTCCTAGTTCCAAATTCTGGTATTTAGATTGTTTCCCTCATTTTTTTTTTTTTTCTCTTAAGAGCAAGCAAGGCTTACTGAGAAGTAACAGCAGCCTGCAACAGGGAGGGTCCCTGAAAAAGGGTGGTCCCCTCCTGGCTTTGTTTGTTGCAGCATTTTATATTGCCCTTTGCTGGACCAATTTTATGTGTTACTAGGGTTCAAACCCAAGATTTCATGCACACTAGGCAAGTACTCTACCAACTGGGCCATGTCCCTAGTCCCTTCCCTCAGATTCTTTGCTTTTTATCCTCCAGATGAATTGATCCTGCTTTTTTCATTGGGAGCCATTAAGAAATAGCTAATATACACCGGGCAGTGGTGATGCACGCCTTTAATCTAATCTCAGCACTCGGGAGGCAGACCTAGGAAAATCTCTGTGAGTTCAAGGCCAGCCTGGTCTACAGAGTGAGATCCAGGACAGGCACCAAAACTACACAGAGAAACCCTGTCTCTAAAAACTGAAGAAAAAAAAATGGCTAATATGCCTAATTAATCTCTTTGCCTTCCTTAAGTAGCTGATGCAAATGATGTAATGAGCATATCGTGTCAATTATTAGACTCCCAAATCAATTAACAGCAGAATAACCAGAACCTTAGATTTTTTTTAGAAAAATTTCACATGTCTTTTTTAGCCTTTCCAAGTCACAAAACACCATGAAAGCAATTCAAAAGAAGGCTCTGAGTTCAATTTTTGACTCAAATAAGAGGAGGGAGTGTTGGCAAAGTCCAGACTCTTACTGAAAAAAATGGAGATATTAATTGTACTGGCTTCTTGGAGACTTTAAGAGGACCCATAGAACAAAAATCAGAAATCCTTGAGTAAGAAATCAGATATGGGGCTGGAGAGATGGCTCAGAGGTTAAGAGCACTGACTGATCTTCCAGAGGTCCTGAGTTCAATTCCCAGCAACCACATGGTGGCTCACAACCATCTACAATGAGATATGGTGCCCTCTTCTGGTCTGCAGTCATACATGCTGTATACATAATAAATAAATCTTTAAAAAAAAAAAATCAGATATATGAACCATTGCGGTAGCTCATCAAGCTTTTAGGCTTTTAGCAGCAGTTCAGCTGAGATCCATTCAGATGAGGACTCAAGAGGTTCCAGTCTGAGGAAACAAGATCAGCTGAGGAATTGGCAATGTGAGGTTGGATGTGGCTTGTTCTGTTTCTCTGATCTTTCAGCGTTCACCCCAATACCTTGCTCCCGGGTTTTTTATTAATAAGACCCTTTAAGGTTCGTGTTACAGAACCACCCTTCAACTTGAGGCTCCAAACACTTCATTATCTGGCCCCTCCCCTGTCTTGGAAGGTCCATGTTATCTTTTCAGGGAGAAGTTTTATTCTGACCTCTGTACCTGACCCCCCCAAAAAAGCTAAGCAGTGCTGTCATACTCCCTACTTCTTTCCTTGGTAGTCCTTATCACCATCTGCAAGGGTTGGGTTTCTTTGCACATGCATCACCTGCTTGCCCGCCCCCCCCCCCAGGATCCTGCTTTGTGAAAGCCAAGGCCACACATGTCCCATCATTACCCCCATCTGTCTCTGGCACCAGGCAGAATATTTGACCCTCAGTAAACACTCAAGAAATAGGGAGAGGAATGGAAATTATCTAAAATGTGGAACAAGATGGTACACAAATACTCATCTGGCATCACTGCTCAACAGGCCAAAGTGCTTGCCCTGTAAGCCAGATGACAGGATTTGATTCCTAGAACCCGCATAAACTACATGAAGGTTGATGGAGAAAACCAACTCCACAAAGCTTCTCTCTAGCAAACATACGCATCATGTCTTTTGCACACGCACACACACACATACACACTAGCAATAATTATAATTAATAAATAAATACTCATCTGGAGTAGGGTGAGGTGATACATGCCTCTAACCCAAAGACTCAGGAGGTTGAGGTAAGAGAACTGCACCTTAGAGATCAACCTCAGCTACACAGGCTAGAGGCCAGCCTCAGCTACACAGGCTAAAGGCCAGCCTCAGCTACGTGGTTGCTCCAGCCCAGCTTGAACTACCTAAGTAATCTCAAAAGAAAAAAAGTATAAATCTCAATTTGACTTTATTGTTTATTGTTGTTGTTGATCTTTGTTTTCACTTTTGTTTTTTGTTTTGT